GACTTTGAAGGTTAAGCAATTGTGCTATTGATATTTTTGTAAGGTATACTTTTTCTAGACAAAAATATCGTCTTCGAAAATAAAATTATTTCGGTACAAAATAAACGCCGTACCGGGCTGAAAAGCAAGCACAGAGTAAAGAAAACATTGCGTTACAATGATCCAAAGTTAGTTTTGTGCTTGCATTACTCAAATTGACATAGCGAGCTCACAAAGTGGGACCAAAATTTGCCTTGAAATCTACAATTTTCGGTGCYCTCAAYTAATTTGCATATATCTCCCCCAAAACACGATATTCAGCCAAACTAACTACRCAGHGYTTATAGGGAMACTCTACCCTATCAATAGTATAAGTATGAGCGAAATCGATTTTTCAAGGTTTGCCACTTATTTTCGAAAATGCTTGATGATTACGGACATCCACTCATAACTACATATAAAAATGTGCAAACAAAGGAATATCAGCTAACAGTTATCTTGTTAATATCAGTGATCAGCTAAATAAATCCGAAATTCTCAGTTAACAGTTATTATTTTTGCCGTTTCTCATTAACAGTTAACCCCATTCAGACCCTGATCAATGTATGTATGACAACAGAGTTTCACTTGATACATAAGTTTGAATAAACCATATACATATGATTTCATAAATAAATGTGTCAGTTTGGTAGCTAAAATATGATTGTGTATATCAATAAATCAACAAATGAATAAATAAATCAGAGGAATGAATGGATGGATGAATGAATGAATGAATGAATGGAAGAATCATGCAATATTTGATCATTTGAAAGATAAAATGAAAGAATGAAGTGAATGACAACTGAAAGAGTGACATATAGAAACAAAAAACACATTATTGTACATAATGTAACTAAGAACATTAGCACATTTTATGTGTTGTTTTAAAATATAGCCATAGATTGTTTCATTAGATCAAGAGTATTCATAATAATATACAGTCCTATAATTTTAGAATATCGTCTTCTTTAAGAGCCTCCATTACTTCAAAGAAAATGCTTTGCCAGTTTCCGTCCTTCACATCTCCTTAGTGTCGGGATCCCTGTGTTTGTGTAGGCGCATAATTTTCTGTTGTACACACAAGACTCCACTTTATTGAACGAACTCGTTTGGCGCAACTTAAAATAATTATTAAGAGTCCATGTACATATGATTTGATAAAATGCCTCAGCTTAGTAGCGATACATTCGGCATAATTTAATGTATTAAAATACATGAACAAAGAAATAAATCAAAGGCATGAATGGATGAAAGAAAGAATGCAGTGAATGAGAATGAAAGAATAAAATAAAGAAATAAAACGCGCACTCTATTGTACGTAATGTAACCATTAAACATAGTTTCATATTTAGGTGTTGTGTATTTTTTCCTCTTAGATAGATTGTCTTATTAGATAGTGAGTATACAATCCTGTAATTTTAGAATCTCGTGTATCGTTAGTGAAGCCATAAAAACATCGGTCAATATGACAATAATAAACACAGTTGACCATACTGACGATTAGAGTCGTTAACCCGTGAAACAATTACCAGACTACTGGAGTCTTTGACCATGTATTCTCATACTCATTAATTATTCATGAGGTATCTAGCCAATCCCTGATTGTAATTTGTACCACGTGCAGTAACTGGATACCAGAGGAAGTACTCCTACCTTGTATTCTATCTTATTTCCAGTTACTTCCACCTTGTTTCTAGTTACTTCTATCTTATTTCCAGTTACTCTTACCTTGATTCTAGTTACTTCTAGCTTTTTCTAACTACTACTA